AACAACCAACGGATTGTTCCATTGGATTGTTCCACACCCAAAAATTAAAGAAGAAATTAGACAGTTTCTACAATTAAACGATAATGACAATACTACATACCAGAACTTATGGGACACAATGAAAGCGATCCTAAGAGGAAAATTCATAGCTGTGAATTCCCTATCAGAAAAACAGACTGAGCTCAAATAAACAACCTAATGCTGAACTTCAAGCTCCTAGAAAAAGAAAAGCAAGTTAAGCCCAAAGCTTATCTGAGGGAAAAAATTATAAAAGATCAGAGCAGAAATTAAAGCAATGGAAACTAAAAAAACAATACAAAGAATCAGTGAATCGAAGAGTTGGTTCTTTGAAAGATTAAATAAAATTGGTTCTTTGGAAGAGTAAATAAAATTGACAAACACTTAACCAATCTTATCCAAAAAAAGAAAGAAAATACACACATCCATACAATAAGGAAAAGGTGAAATCACAACAGATCTACAAAAATCCAGAAGATCATCAATACCTATTTCAAAAACCTGTATTTTAAAAGGATGGAAAAGAGAAGAAATGGGACAGATTCCTAGATACATATGAATTACCAAAACTTTATCAAGAAGATACAGAAATTCTAAACAAACCAGTATCAATCAATGAAATTGAACATGTAATTAATAACCTACTAACAAAGAAAAGCCCAGGCCCTGATAGATTCATTGCTGAATTCCACAAGAGATTTAGAGAAGACCTAATGCCACTACTTCTCTGAAATGGAAAGGGCAGCAATACTCCCAAATTCATTCCTGGAAGCAAGCAGTACCCTAATACCAAAATCAGAGAAGGATCCACCCAAAGAAGAGAACTACTGGCCAATCTCCCTCATGAACACAGACATAAAATTCTCAATAAGTTACTGGCAAACAAAATGCAGCAAATTTTTAAGAAGATTATAAACCATGACTAAGTAGGATTCATCCCAGGTGTGCAGGGATGGCTCAACATACTCAAATCAGTAAGTGTAATATACCATAATACAGGGCCATGGACAAAAACCATATGGTCATCTCAACAGATGCAGAGAAAGCGTTTAACAAAGTCCAACACCCATTCATGTTAAAAACCCTACAGAACATTGGAATACACGGTCTTTATCTCAATCTGATAAAAGCCGTCTATAACAAACCAATAGCTAACATCAAACTAAATGGACAAAAACTGAAAATTTTCACTCTAAAATCAGGAACAGATGGGATGAATATGTATGACAAATATGTACTAATAAAAAATAAAGATTTAGGAGCTGGGGATTTAGCTCAGCGGCACAACGCCTGCCTGGCAAGCGCAAGGTCATGAGTTTGGTTCCCGGTACCAGAAAAAAAAAAAAAAAAAGATTTAATAATTAAAATAAAGTCAGGAACAAGGCAAGGATGCCCACTATCACCACTCCTATTCAATATAGTTCTGGAAACATTTAGCAAGAGCAATTAGACAAGGGAAAGAAAAGGAATAAGGATTTTTTAGAAGTTCAATTATCATTACTTGCAGACGACATGATATTCTACATAGAAGACACCAAAAACTCCACCAAGAGATGTCTATATTTAATAACTAAACTCAGTAGCATAGCTGGATATAAAGTCAACACTCAAAAATCAATAGCCTTCCTCTACATGAATAACAAATTCAGTGAAAGAGAAATTAGGGAAACAACATCTTTCACAACAGCATCCAAAAAATGAAATATTTAGGAATCAATCTAACGAAGGAAGTACAAGAACTTTACATTGAAAACTACAGTCCTCAGAAAAAAGAGATCAGAGGATATCAGAAAATGGAGAGATATCCCCTGTTCTTGTGTAGGAAAAACCAATATAGTGAAAATGCCCATACTTCCAAAATTATTATACAGATTTAATGCAATCCCAATCAAAATTCCAAAAGAAGCTGGGCGTGGTGGTGCACACCTGTAATCCCAGCACTCAGGAGTCTGAGGCAGGAGGATCACTGCAAATTTAAGAAAAGCCTGGGCTACAAAGTGAGCTCAAGGCCAGCCTGAACTGCATAGCAAGACCCTGTCTCAAAAAGACCAAAAACAAAACAAAAACAAACAAAAATCCAATGCATATCTCACAGAATTAGAGAAAATAATCATAAAATTCATTTGGAACCAGAAAAGACCTAGAATAGCAAAAGCAATTCTGAGCAAAAAAGTCAAGGCAGGGGGCATCACAATCCCTGACCTGAATTTATACCACAAAGCTACTGTGACAAAAACAGGATGGTACTTGAAAAAAAACAGACCTGAGGATCAATGGAACAGATCAAAAGATGCAGAAACAACTCCAAACACATCCAGTCACCTCATCTTTGACAAAGGAGCCAAACATCTTCACTGGAAAAAAGACAGCCTCTTTAATAAATGGCACTGGAAAAACTGACTTTCCACACGCCTAAGATTAAAATTGGACCTATATCTTTCAGCATGCACCAAACTAAATTCAAAATGGATCAAAGATCTAAATATTAAGACAGAAACATTAAATCTGCTGGAAGATAGAATAGGTAAAACTCTTGAAGACATTGGTGTAGGCAAAGAATTTATGAATAAAATGCTGACCACACAGGAATTATCACAAAGAATCAACAACTGGGATCTCATCTTTATTAAAAAGCTTCTGCACAGAAAGAGAAATCACCAACACAGTGAAGAGACAATATACAATGTGGGAAAAATGTTTGCCAGATGTTCCTCAGACAAAAGATTACTACAGAGAACATATGAAGAACTCAGAAGAATCAGACCTCCCAAATTTAAAGACATAATCCAAAAATGGCCATCTGAGATGAATACACATTTCTCAGATGAAGAAATACAAACAGCAAATAAATATGTGAAAAAAATGTTCAGCATCACTGGTCATTCAAGGGATGCAAATTACAACAACACTGAGATGCCATTTCACCCCGGAAAGTGGCTATTATCAATAAATCAACCAGTAACAAATGCTGGAGGGGCTGTGGGGAAAAAGGAACCCTACTCTACTGCTGGTGAGAGTGTAGACTGGTGCAACAGTGGAAATCAGTGTGGAGATTCCTCAAAAAACTAAAACTAGGCGTTCCATTTTTTTTTGTTTGGTTGGTTTTTTTGTTTTTTTTTTCCGGTACTGGGAATTGAACTCACAACCTTGCACTTGCCAGGCAGGCGCTGTGCCGCTGAGCTAAATCCCCAGCCCTACTAGGCGTTCCATTTGACCCAGCTATTCCCCTTCTTGTTATCTTCCCAAAACAATTAAAAGCATCATACCACAGCAATACATGCACACCCATGTTTACAGCAGCCCTAAATCTTGAAACAGCCCAAATGCCCATCAACCAAAAATGGATAAAAAAGATGTGGGTTTTTTTTTTTAATACAATGGAGTACTACCCTGCCGTAAAGAGGGATAAACGAGACATTTCTAGGTAAATGGATGCAGCTTGAGACGATACTTTTAAGTGAAATAAACTGGACACGCATGTTCAAATATCACAAGGTTTCTCCGGTGTAAGAAACCAAAAATGTAAATAAGAATCAATGTGTAATGTATGTTGGGAAACAGGAAGAAAACATGCAAATAAGAAGGGGAAAGGCAGGGGGAAGGGAGAAAGGAAAGGGACAAGAGAAAAAGAACAGACAGAAGAAATAGAAACGAAGCTTTCATAAACAAGAGGGATGAATGGGGGGAAATGGGGAAAAAAGAAGCAGCAAGCTATACCATGTACAGGTACAAACTATATATATAAAACCAATAAAATAAAAAATAACTGGATAAATAAATTTAGATAACACACAGTCTTCATGGAGATGGTCTCAAAGGAAAACACCAACAGGAGATGAGAGAGTAAGGTACATAGCTATGTGGGGAGACTAGCAGGGCCATATAAATCTCTCCAGCAAGTTCAGCTAAGACAAAAATGCAACTCTTACCTTTCAAAAGGGGCTGGAAGGTTGGGATCTCTTGCAACTTGATGACATCTGGATCATTGCTGACATTCCGTGAGGCTTGAGAGCCCTGAGCTACAACCACAATATCATCCATCTTGGCTCTATGCTTAGCTGGGGAAGGAGTCACTGAAAATAAAGTTACACTGGTGAAAGTTACATCTTAGCCACCTCTGCCTCACCAAAGCTGTTTTCTTTTCACTAAGAAGAATTTTTATTTTGTGGTCATAATGTGTGAAATTTTTTATTCTCTTAAAAAGAATATTTTTCCACAATAAAATGTTATTTTGTGGTGTCAGTTGAGTGGATGAATTCTGAAAGGTCTCAATTTTCCGTGGTATTAAAAAACTCTAACAGTACAGGAACATCTAACATATCTGAACTCTTTCATAACTAAATATTTTCTATAATGCATTACACAAAAGGTATACAAATTGTGTTTCTTACTTCTCCTTTGTTTCCCCAGATCCTCCTGACATACGTTCCTATTTTACAAATGAGGAAATGAGGGTATAAAACTTGGCTGTGACTTGCCCTATGTCAACAGTGCTACAATCAGGGAAGGAATTGAGGACTATGAGTCGTTGATACACCAAACCCATCCCTGTCACACTCCGGTTGCAAAGCTGTCTGTTTACCCTATCACAGTTGACCAGGTCCTGGACCTGGGAAAAACCTTTGATTTAACTCTAGATAATGGGTCTATTTTTGAAGCCCCAGGCCCCTCATTCTTAAAGTTACAGCATTCTCTAAGGGGAGAAAAAAATGGGCCCGTTCTTGGTTGAGGCAAAATTCTAAACTTTGGAGGCTGTTGCTAGAGGCTGGCCAATTTCAGATTCTTTGGAAGAATATAATCCATTTGGAAATAAGCGATCCAAGCCACAAAAGATTTCCTAGATCGAGACATCCTCCTCCCCTAAATATCCTGTGGGTTCAGGGCAACTGTGAATCCTCAATGTGTTATACTGTAGAACAATGAATCCTCAATGTGTTTTATACTCTAGAACAGTAGTGTCCAACCTATGGCAGCCCATTGCTCGTATCACTGAAAGCTCTAAAAGGTGTGCCATCACTGCTCTAGAAGGTGCAGTAGTCTCAGGCTCATCACGGTCACATCTCAAAGACTGATCCACAGATGCCACAGAATGGTGCTGCCTTCTGGAAGCTGTTTTCCTGAAGGTATTTATTTTTCGTTATTTTTTATTATTTTTTACTTTTTATTTTATCGGTCCATTTCTTGGCGTTAACTCTTTCAGAAAAATTTCTGCTACTGTTACTGCATTTCAAGAACCGCTTCTTAACCTCTTTTGGTAATTTATCTAATATTTTATAAAACAGATGCCAGAAACCTTTCCTGCTACAACTTGTGATTTCTTTCCCCAAACACTGGAGAAAAAGGGACTTCACCACATTCTGGTTAGCCTCCATTATGTTACCCGAAAGTGAGGGTGTGTGAAGATTAAATACCTATACGCAAAGCACCGGTAAGAGAGGAACAGGCAAATCCTAATACCAGGTACAAGCCAATGCTGTTGATTCACAGCCAAGCAAGCATTAAAAAAAACCCACACCCTTTGCCCCAAACTATGCTTCTAGCTTGATATATAGGGGAAAAAAATAGAAGGTAGCCATTGTTATTGTATTTGTTACAAAATATATAACATCGGGCCTTGTAAGGGAACAGGAGAATGTACCTAAGCTAGCTGATGCTCCTCACCACGAAAAGGTTATTAATCTAGCCCCAGAATGGTCTGAACTGGTCTCCTGAAGGACAAGTTCCGTGTGACTCACGCTAGATCTGTTAGCTTCCACATATCTGAAAGCCTAATTCTACCACCAGAGCAGTTCTAAGACCAGGGGCTCTTTCACTATGGAGCCCAGGGTGGGCTCCAACTCGAGGCAAGTTTCCTGCCTCAGCCTCCCCAGTGCTGAGATTACAGGCATGTGCAACGACGCCCGGCGGACCAGGGCTTCTTTTTAAACCCCACCATTAGCCAAAGGTAAATTCTTCCAAGCACAGAGCAGTTCTAAAACCAGGACTCTTTTAGGCCTCAGATTTAACCAATTTGGGTTAGCAAATCAGGGGCTTACGCAGGGCACTTGGAGCTGTCCTAGACGTGGGTAACAAAAGGAGCAAATGGGCCTCGGTTAAACACCAGCTGTTTCACTAAGCATTAACCACATTCCCAGCACAATAACCCTCCCATTCTCTGAAACGCTGAAGGGAATCTAAAAAATATGGATGGGGAGAAAAGAAAAAACCCCCAGAGTATGCCATCTGGCCAAACCGGACCCAAAGCACCTGAGGGGAAAAAGCAATTTCTGGAAACATTTGCATTCAAATGTTCAGAGTGCTTGTACAGCAAACACACACCCTCTCTAAAACCCGTTTCAGAGAAAGCCTGTTCTTAGAGGTCCGGTCTATGAGCCATCCACGGTGTCAGCCAAATCTCAGTACTTGAGTCATGATTAGAGAGCCAAAAATCAAGCCGTCTTTTAAAGATCAGGGCTGCGGAGGGGAGAAAGGGCTGTTTTGGAAACCAGCAATGGGCGTGCGCGCCCACGCTGGCTCAGCGCAGTCAAGGTCTCGATACTATTTCTTTCAAGAAGCACAGTGCGGCTTTCTGCAGGGTGCCGCCGGCCGTCCCAGGCCCCGCCAGGCCAGGAGGCAGCCTGCTCCCCAAGCAGACGGGCGGAGGAGGGTGGGAGGTTAGGACACCGACCTGAGGAGTTCAGATCGTTGGGTCGGCTCTCGACCTCGGAGCTCTGCTCACTGCCCATGGTGCCGGCAGCGGTGGCAGCGGAAGAACGGCGGACCGGGCGGTCACCGCTCCGATGGCGGGGCGACAGGGCCGGGGCCGGGGACCGGGCCGGGGAGGCTAAACCGTCCGCGCGCCCCCGGGAGCTAACGTGGGGGGGGCGGTGCGCCCAGCCCACACAGGGCTTCTGGCGGCGGGGGAGGGGCAGGCCCTAAGTGGGGAACACACACGCAACGGAGCGCAGCGCGGCTGCACGCTGTCGCCCTCCTTCCTTCAGAAAGCCCCAAGGAACAGATGGGGAACACCCGCTTAGCTGCGTCCGCAGCCAGCGGGCGGCGCCGATTTCACTCACTGGCTCAAACGCCGCAAGTCGCTTCTTCCGGGACGCGCACTGCCGGAGGCGGCTACGTGTGACGTCAGTTCCGGGTTAGGAACCGCCCCGCCCCTGTCCGAAGGAGGCGGGGGAGATCAACGCGGAAGACTAGGGGGAAGTCACTTTAAAAGGTCCGCCCACTTCAAAAGCAGAAGTGTGGAAGAAAAAGCCATTTCGTATTGTAATAATGCGTGACCTTTTGAGTACCACCCGTATATTAGCAACTGTAGTACAAACATATTAGAACAACTTTATAAATGGATATTTTTAACTGTTTTACAGATGAAAAGGTGCCATATAGACCTGGAATTCGAATCTGAAACTTTCTGGATGCTCTGGGAGTTCGGCAGTGGCACCTATACAAAAATGCTGGGAGACTGTGAAGAAAGGGACTAGAAATGACCGAAAACAGCAATCCTAAGGCCAATAGATGATGTCTTCATGGAGAATAGGGGTAAGTGGGGAAACTATTCAGAACTGTCTGATTTCAAACTTGGTACTCTATCCTCTGCTCACCATTGCAATACAATAAAAATATGCACATGGTGGAAGTTCAGCGTTCGGTGGAGAAATGAAGATACTCTACCTAAATATGAAGGTATTCTAACAACACCGACCGAGAGATCAAAGTTGGCTCCTAGAAGGTGGTGTTTGACTATAGTTTGACTCTTACATAACCCACCAGGCCGTTAGGCCTGAAAAGGGCCGTTCCCTCCTGGTGAGAGGTTGGCTCCCCTCCCAGATCTGCCCTCTTTAAGGGTGAAGAGAGGTAAAAGAGGAGTGAGGTGGCGAGTAACTCTTTCTGGTGCTTGTCTCTCTCTTTTCCACATTAAAGAATATTTGTCTTGTGCTCCATCCTGAATCAGTACTGACGTGATGGTGTTTCTTTATGCTTCTCTTTAGATGAGTATGTCACTCTAAAAGGGAGTTTCTATCTGTTATGGCTTGTGTGTAGATGTCACCCCAAAGCCTCATGCAGTCATAGGTGGGGCTTTTTCAGAGGTGGCTGGATCTAGAGTGTGTAATGCTGGGATTCATGCATGGTGCAATGCTAGGATTAAGGGTGCTAGGATTAAGGGTGGGTGATTACTAAATCAGTCCACTGATTGGTTTGGCACTGCCGTAATCCTGTTAGACTGAATACAATATAAGGGACAGAAAGAGGCTTGTCTTGTCCCTTGCTTGCTTTGCTACCTTCTGCCTGCCATGAACTTTTTTTCCTCTATGATGCATGTCTGCCGTACTATCCTGCCTTGGAGCCAGCCAATGATGGGTTGAAACCTCTATAAACCGTGAGCTCAAATAAACCTTTAACTTTGGGTGTTGGGTATTTTGTCTCAGCAATGAGAAAAGTAACTAAGACACTATCCCATCACCTGAAGAATGGATAAATACAATGTGGTATATCTATATAATAGAATATCATTTGGCCAAAGGGGGAATAAACTGCTAAATAAGTGGTACGAACCATGGATAAAACTTGAAAACATGATGCTGATTAAAAGGGCTCATCACAAAAGAACACATATTGTAGAGTCCATTTATATGAACTATCCAGAAGAGGCATTATAGAAACAGAAATAGATTAGTGGTTTCTCAAAACTGAGGCAGAGGAGAAATGGGATATGGGTTTTTTTTCCCCTGGGGTTGATGAAAATGTTCTAAAATTAATCGTGGTGATAGTTGCACAATTCTGAATATATTAAAAACCAAGTGTACACTCTAACTGGGTGAATTGTGTGGTGTGTACAGCTCCATAAAGCTGTATTCAGAAAAAGGATATCTGAAAATAAAATGCCTGCATTCACTGACTTAGCATTTCCTGGGAGCCTGTAATGTGCCAGGCATTTGTTAAAGATTAAGGATAAAAGGTCCAACAAGATCTATCCATAGAAAGTGTACAGTCTGGTGGCAAGAAAGATGAAATAAGTATTTATAATATAAGGGTGCTAAAAAAATACATATATATATAAGGGTGCTACTGGAGGGGTTCTCAAAGTAGGAAACATTTGGGATTGATGCCATTCCACCCTTAAAGTCACTTTCACAGTCCTGGTGGTGGCTCACACCGGTAATCCCAGCCCTCTGGGAAATTGAGGTAGGAGGATCTCAAATTTAAACCCAACCTAAAGAGCTAAGGATGCAGCTCAGTGCAAAATTCTGGGGTTCAATCCCCAACAATGCAAGAAAAAAATCACTTTCAGCTGAGCAGAGAGCTGTGCTATTGGGGGGACTCCCATCTCTTCAGTGTCCCCAGCCAGAAATCAGGCAGGAAGCCTCTGACCTTGCCTCCTTTGTTATCCTGTATGTGGCAGGTAGAGAGTTTTCCAGAATGTTAATGAATATTTTCAGATGAACATTCTCTGTCCCTCTGCATACACAGGAAACCTTTGTGCCAGGTGGGCTGCATCCCCTGAATGGGCACATGGTATCCTCTGCCTGGGTAGTCAGTTTTTCCCTCCCCATCCAGCCAGCTAAACTCCATACTTTGGGATTTAACTCATCCACTTCTTCCTAGGGGCCCCTCCTCTGAGCTTCCTTAACTAGCAGCTTCTATCATGACATTTACTCTTTACCTAACTATTGATCTTATCTGTCTCCCCCACTGAAATAGAAACATCTTCAAGGTAGATCCCATGTCTTATTGGTCTTTAATTTCCACTGCAGTAGCTTATACATGTTTTTGGAATAAAATACTTTTTTAACGTACCTCCACCTAGATCAGACTTCTCTTATAAGAGGATTAAGAATCTCTTCAGGCATCAAAGTGACACTGGACATGATTTCTAATTTAAATATCTTTCATATCAGTACAAAGTCTTTGGTCATTATTTTCATCAATATCCTTTGTTCACTCTTGGAACTGGAAAAAAATAATGCATCATTTCCACAATAACAGGTGTATTGTATCAAAACACAAAATCTAAAATTTCTAATGAGGGAAAGCTCTTCTTAGTGCCTAGCATGGGCTACCCTTCAAGCACTCTACCCTGAAATATCTCATCTTCAGAGGTAAAGTGCACTTACACATGGGTCTCTTGTTGCATCCAGAAAACCACAGTGGAATCTACTTTTCTTTGGTAACTTTTTTTTAAATACTGGGATTGAACCCAGCAAGCTTATTCATTGTTTTATTACAGAGTCTCACTAAGTTGGCCAAGACTGGCCTCAAACTTATGATCCTCCTGCCTGAGCCTCCCGAGTAGCTGGGACCATAGATGTGTAGTACCTCTGCACCCAGCCTCATTGGTAGCTCTTTGAAACCAAGTTTGGGCACCACTATTAAAACTGGAGAGTAGGGCATCCTCTGAGTACAGCTCGTGGATTAGTTTCTTACAAGAGGCCATTGTTCATAAGTTCTCTCCGACAACATATGCCTCTGGTAGCAATTGGGTAAGGTCAGGTGTACAAGCCTGCAGTAATCATCTACAATACATAGTAATTCAGGTTTGAAAACTTTCACACCAACCAAAGTGAAGATACTGACAGTTTAGATCACTTGGTAAATTCAGGGTCTGTGGTTTAGAAATGGTTTGCTTGAGTGTCTAGGCAGGTGCGGGTGAGGGGGCAGGGATATAGAAATCTTTTCTACAACCTATGCTCGTTACGCACTCATTCTGCGATACACCAGGTGTTATGCTAAGTGTTAGGGATACATACTTTTTTGAGACAGGGTCCCACTGTGTAGTCCAGGCTGGTTTTAAACTCACTAGGTAGCCCAGGTTGGCCTCAAACTCACAGTGATCCGCCTGCCTCAGCCTCCCAAGTGCTAGGATTACAGGTATGTGCTACCATGCCTACCTAGGGATACAATTTTACCCACTATCCCAGACACCAGTGTTTCACCCTTATTCCATGTACTTAAAAACAAAAGGCCAAATGCCTTTTTCCAGCCTTACCTAGCATATAATATTTAACTGGAGAATTGCCAACTCTCATAAAGGACCTTCCATTTTCCAGTTGTGGAAATGGGAATCTCACAGTAGTGTCCCCAAATAGGATGCTCTGTAAACATTTGAACATCAAGAAGCTGCTCTCATAGCACACCTCAAAATAGTTAAACTTTGGAAAAAGTCTACTGTCTATCGACAGGAGCATGGGTACAGAAAATGATTTATTTATACAGTAGAATATTACTCAGCCATGAAGAAGGAAGAACTTGAGGTATTTGTAGGAAAATGGATGCACCTTGAGGTCACAATGTTAAGTGAAATAAACCAGACACCAGTATAAATATCACATTCATATTCATTCTCCCCCCTCCCTCCCTCCCCCTCTCTCTCTCACACACACACAGACTGGGTCTCTGTAATTCAGGCTGGTCTTGAAGTTACTCTGTGGCTCAGGTTAGCCTCAAACTCTGGGCAGTCCTCCTGCCTGTGCCTCCTGAGCGCTGGGATTACACGCATGTTCCATCATACCAGGCCACATGCTTTCCCTTACATAAGAAGCCTAAAGTATAAATAATTTAAAGAATAAATAAAATCTAAGAGGAAATAGGGAGATAGATTCTTTGCAAATAGGGAAGGGATCTAGAGATGAGCGGAGGGAGGGCCAGGAGAAGAAGGGGCAGTAAAAAGAATTAAGATGTGGTATGTACATGTACCAGCTCCCCACGATGAGTATAATCACTGTGTACTGCAAACATGTACTAATAAAAAAAATTTTTTTTTAAGAAACTGCCCTCAATGGTTGCTTCTGGGGCGGGTGATTAGTACACTGGGATGCAGGACTAGAGGATGCATTTCTTTCTTTTCTTAGTACATATTTGCAGTACATAATGATTGCATTCATGGGGCGTTGGTACCTGTGTGTAACGCATCTTAATTCCCCCCCCCCCCTTGCTTCATCTTGGCCCCCTTCCGCTGTGCAGAAGATCTCTCTGCCTATTGAAAAGGAGCCTATTTCTGTAGGGTTGCCTTCTTCAGTTGTGCATTCGCTCAGGCCCAGCCTTGCAGACCCGGGGCTGTGCTCCGACAGCCTAGGGCGACCCAGAACAACGTGTGAGCGTGGGGTAGGGACACGTTGCAGCTCCGCGGCCCGGCGCGCTCGGCTCTCCCGGACGCTCTATGTTGCTGGGAAGCAGCTCCGGGTTGCAAAGCCGGAACGTGCCCTTCCCCCTGCCGCAAACTTTCGGGCCTTGGGACGGAAGCAGGAACTTGTTAACCACAAAACCCTGCGGGCGTGCACCCGGCCGTGATTCGCCCGCCCTGCCTGGGAGCGCCACAGCTGTCCTTGCTCCCCGGTGGGGGGACAGGGACACACGGGGACCTCTCGCCACCAGGTAAAGGCATCCGCCTCCCCTCCCTCCCTCCCTCCTGCCCCTTACCAGCCTCGCCACCGGCTGCCCTGCTTTCCTGGGGCCGGCGCATCTCCCTCCCTAACCGCAGCACCCCAAGGACCAGGCTGGGGTGAAAGAGGGCCAGCAGGAGCCTTGCCTCAGTATCCCAAAGGCAGAATATTTAGCGAGCTTTATCCTTGTCCTAAAAGGAAGAGGAAATTCCCATGTTTCCTTGGATGGCTTGCCTTCCGTTTTCCTTACTGAACTGTTAATTGTCTAGTACGTCTAATATGTGATAAGAGTATGCTTAAGTAAAATGATTTCCAATATTTGTAGTAGTTACTTACAAATAAGTTTTAGAGACTCCAGCAGACTGGAGTACACGCAAGTGCTTCCCTTCTCTCCACCCTATATTCTTTATTCCGTCTTACAGCAGGATTCCTCTAGACTTCAGACCTTTAAGGTCAAAAGAATGATGGATTAGCAGACCTAATTAGCTAGGGGTGTAGCTCAGTGGCAGAGCACTTGCTAGCAGGTGCAAGGCCCTAGTTTTGGTCCCCAGTCAAATAATAATGATAATAAATTCAAAAGTAGAAGCAAAAAAGAAGAGGCAGAGACCTTAATTAGCTGGTAATCATTGACTGTTTTTAATGAGATGAATTCTTTAGTACTTCTGCAGTCCGGCTTCTGGAAGGATGCTGCATGCTGAGCCCGCGGCTTCTTCCTCCCAGGGAATAGCTGAGGAGGCCTTGGGCACTGAAGGAAAGACTTTCTCAGAACCATTCTAAGCATCTGCTACCTGGTTTTTCTCCTTTGTTTCCTTAGGGCTAGAAAAGAGGCTTACAAAATGTAGTAGTATAACAAGTCATTTATGCCAAGACTGTTAACCTGGGGAGTCCGCGGAGAAAATTCAGGAAGTCTGTGAATTTAGGTGGAAAAATTTTATTATTTCACAAACCTCTAATTGAAAGGTAGTTTCCTTCCAGAGAAATGCAAGCGGAGGCCACAGAAGTAACAGCAGTAGCTGCGATTTCAGCCAGTAGAAACCAGATAGTTTCATATGTTACCTATGGCCCATGTCTCAAAATATTATTTATAGTCAACGCTACTTCCAGATTGTTGGCAGTTACTAGCACCACTTGTTATTCATAAATTAATAAAGATGCCCATACAACCTACCAATATTTTTGCTTTTTATTTGAACTGAAAATGGAAATAGTAAATGATTTCATTAGGATCATTATAAGAAATGAAGGACATATATAAAGTGCTTAGTGTGGAGACTGGCATGTGAGAACCAATAAATATTAGTATTTTATTGTATACAGAAATTGGAGGTAACACTTAACAAGGCAGGTATTAGACTTGTGTTTTATTATAGACGGGTGTTTGTTTTTTAATTATTGGGGATTTTCCTCCAAGTAAAGGTCATAGTTCACGTAGGGTTAACTTGTGTACTTTACAGTGTTGTGGCTTTGGACAGATGTACAGTGATATGTACCCACTGTTACAGTTCTTCATCATTGTGTCCATTATTCTAGGTTTCTTTCCATATCTGTGCAAACTTTAAAATCATTTTGTTGGTATCCGCAAGGTAATTTGTTGGGATTTTGATCGGGACTATATTGAATCTATAGATCAAATTGGGATAATCGACATCCTAACAATATTGAGTCTTCCTATCCATTAATGGGGAACATTTATTTATCTAGAGCTCTGATTTCTTTCATCAGAGTTTTGTAGGCACAGTTTTGAAACTAGTCTGATAATTATATTTCAGTGTAACTGGCTTCCTTGGTAATCTATACTTTTCATTTTATGCATTTTGAAATACATCTCTCAGGATAGATGTGAAGCTTCCCTAGGCTACCAGAGAGGTTCATGTCAAAGATAGATTACATAAGGGGTAATTCTATTCTAAATTATCATTCAGTCAACAATTTGTATTCTGGAAATTTGGGGTCGGGTGGAGGAGGATATTCTGGTATTGCTTTGCCAGTTTAGTGTTTATTTTTCCTAAAAGAACCACTTCACCAATGGAATTGGCATTGTACAGTATAAATAAAATCTTATCAGCAGATAAAATCTTGCTAAATTGCCCAGACTTTTGTGGTTTTGGGGATGTCAGAAAGGACACCTGCTCCAACTTGTCCTCACCTGAGCCAGAATATTTCCTCTGGTGAATGGCTAATTCCTAAAATTAGATGATTAATGTTATCGCCTTCTGGTTCGATATTTATAAGGAGAAGCAGCAATAAGACTGGCTGCTCTCTTCTTTTTTTTTCATTATTACAAATAAGGTAGAAATAACTATTCTGCAGGGCTGGTCTGAGTATTAAAGGGGTAATATGTGTAAATTGTTAGCACGATGCCTGCCACCCACTAAATATTCTGATTTTTATGACTGAGAAAAGAAGTGTGCTCCAACCTATTATCACTGCTTCAACAGTGATAGATATTTGTGTCCTCTCTCCTCCTAGTCAGGAAAGGCAAGAAAATGAAGGATTCTAGCACTCAGGGGAAGGCCTGCTGTTCATACATCTTCGTAGGCACTATCAACTTTTAATCATTGGTGAGATAGTATATATATTTGTGCTGTTTGGCTCTTGGCCAAGTTTTTATTTTTTTTATTACGTATGTATTTTGTTCTTTTGAGACAGGGTCTCACTCACTTTGTAGTCCAGGCTGGTCTTGAACTCACTATGTATGTGTGCTGCCAAAGCAAGCATCTTAAACTCACAATGTAGCCCAGGCTGGCCTCTACCAAGTGCCAGGATTGCAGGAGTGTGCCACCACACCCAGCTTTTGTCAGGTTTTGGGTTCGATTTGTTCTGTTTTGTTTTTTGTTGTTTTTTTTTTTTGAGAGAGGGTTAGTTTGGCTATGTAGTGCAGGCTGGACTTGAACTCCCTTATGTATCCCAGGCTTGCCTGGAACTCACGGCGATCTTCCTGCCTCAGCCTTCTGAGTGCTGGGATTACAGGTGTATGCCACCACACCTGGCTTCAAATTTTAAATGAAAGGTTGTCTCAGATCTACTAAAGATAATTTTAAAATTTATTTATTTCTGTCCTCTTAAGTTGTATATGGGCCATTTTTATTGACTTGAAGGAAATGAAATATTTCTTCCCTGTTTTTTTGTTTTGTTTTGTTTTAATTTTCAATACTGGGGATTGAAGCCAGGGCTGTGGCACTGATCTACATCCCCAGCCCTTTATTATTTTGAGATAGAATCTTGCTAAATTGCCCAGATTGGGCTAAAATTTTCAATCCTCCTGCCTTAGCCATGCAGACTACTGGAATTACAGGCATGTGCCACCCCTGATTTGTTAAAAGAAACAAAACTCATTGATGATTTTCTATTTTTATCCTAGTGAGAAATTTCACCGTCCTTCCAATCTTCCTGAGGCAAACTGAGATCAACTGAGTTAACCTTCAAAGACTAAGTCTAAACTGAGTCTAAAATGTTCTTCAGGGAAGGACGGCACTTGACTCTCACTTTGGCGATAATCTGGTTCCTGACACTAAGTCTGTCTGCCAGTCAGAACTGCCTCAAGGAGAGCCTCGAAGACGTCGTCATTGATATCCAGTCATCTCTCTCTAGGGGAATCAGAGGCAATGAGCCCATCCATACAGCAGCTGAAGAAGACTGCATTAATTCTTGCTGTTCAACACAAAACATAGCAGGTAAATAACCTGGTAGCTCTTCATCCCATGTGTTTCATGACATAAGTAGATGGGGGGCACGACGAAACAGTTTACACCAGTGATTCACGATGGGGTAGGCATGTGGGTGACCGAATCCCTGGGGTGCTGTCCATGAGTGTGCCCTGCCCTCCCCTAGATTGTGTTGAAGTTACTGATGACTGGGTGAGAACATCCCTCAGGTGGCTAGGGAAACAAAAGTTTGAAGACTACTGGTGTTATGTCCCAATAAAATATACAAAACAAAAAATTCTGTTTAAATGCTTAGCTGTCATGGTCATGGTGGAATATTTCAAAGAATATGTAAACAGAGCACAGGAGTTGAGATAAAAAGTAAGTCAGCTCATCCCAGGGGAAAGTCAGCATTTGATTTTTATGTGGAACCACAGGGCCCCTGCTTCATCTCCCTCCCTAGACCTTGTGGCTTAAGGTAAGTCAAGAAGCAAGCAACTGACCACCAGAGTATTGCAGCTTCTGGGACCAAGAGTTGTGGATGGATGCTGGTCCCCAGAAGGACCGCTAGGTCAGAAGTTTGGGACTTTCGGCCTCACTTCCTGACCTCCAAGGAGGGCTTGGAGATTGAGTTCAGTCATAGTGGCCGGTAACTGAACCAATCACACCTGTGTAAAGAAACCTCCATCTGGTTCCCTAAGTGATGGGGTTTGAGGAACTTCAAGGTTGACACACATATCCATCCATGGGCTAGGAGGGTGGCCTACCCAGCTCCACAGGGGCAGAGGCATCTGCATTGGAGGTCCTTGTCCGAAGTGACAGCAAGCTTTGGGCTGAGCCCTGAAATGCTCAGCGTGTAGTCTACCACTAACCCCAGGTGGTTAGGGTCAGAATCGGATTGAATCGAAAGATATCTGGCTGCTGTTAGAGAGCTGGTGTGGAACAAGTGCCGTATGCATGGAGTCAGTAAGAAGAATCTCTGCAGTGGTCTCAGACTGAGCACTGTGCTTTGGATATTGTTTGTGGAAGTAATTTGTAGAAGTCACAGAGCTTGCTGGGCAGGGTGGCACACGCCTGTAATCCAGGCAGGCTAAGACTGGAGGATCGTGGGATCAAGCCTAGCCTGGGCAGTTTAGTGACTTAGTAAGACCCAGCCTCAAAGTTAAAAAAAAAAAGAAATAAAAAGGTGTAGGGATGTAGATCAGTGTGAAGGATCCAGGTTCAATTTTCAACACTCCCCCCCCCCCAAAAAAAACAACAGAAATTTAATTTAAATTTATACTTTTTCTTTAAATTTTCATATAAAGATTTATGTGGGCCAGTTGTAGTAGTACACACCTGTAACTACAGCCCTCTGGGAGGCTGAGACAGGAGGATTCCAAGTTTGAGCCCAACCTAGGCAATTTAATGATTTAAAGACATCCTGTCTCAAAATGAAAAATAAAAAGGCCTGGAGATATAGCTAAACATGAAGGCCCTGGGTTCAAACCCAAGTACCCCCCTCACATTTTTTTTTTTTTTAAATAGAAACATCATCTGCAAACCTGACTGAATTGTGTAATTATAGGTATTTCCTAGCAACATAGGAAACCCTGCATTTCTCCTCAATTCCAAGGAATGAGGATTTACTGTTTTATTTCCCAAGCAAAAGTACTGTTACTGCTCTGTGAGCCACAGTTGATGGTACTCAAACATTTTCCTCATTTATTGAGCAATGATAATTTAACTTTTTAGGATTCGGAAGTCACTTTGAAAACTTGATCGTAGCCATGGACTCTGGAGAAATGAACATACACACTTTGCATGTGGTTTGGGGGCTCATGGATTCGCCTGTTTACCTAGGTGGCAAAAAGAATGGTACTGCAGGCGTCGCACTGTTGAGAAAGGGCGAGGAGGAGGGCCTCTCTTAGTGCCTGAGTAGCAGAGAGATGATGTGATTAAAGTCAGCCGGGGCTGAGTCTCCTTTCTCACCTGGGAAATCAGGCTTGATCCTTGGCATTGCCTGACTAGAGGAGGTGGCGATGGTTGGCAAAGCATACCCCACAGCCCGTGGTACTGGGAATTGAACCAAGGCCTTGCACGTGCTTGGCACTAAGCTAAGGGGCTGCTGTACCACTAAGCGCCATCTTCAGTTCTTTCTGTTGTTTTATTTTGAGAAAGGGTCTCACTAAGTTACCCAGGTTGTGCACAAATTTATGATCCTCCTGCCCCAGCCTCCCAAGCGCTGGAGTTACAGGTGTGAACCATTGTGCCTAGACAAGTGGTGTGTTTTTAATAGTTAGTCTCTGTGCCCCTACACCGCCAGCCCGACCAGAGGTACGCCAATCCCTCAAGAGTCATAGGCAAAGAAGGCCACGATGAATAGAATAATTGCTTCTGGACATGAGAAGAAGAAGAAAGAAGCCAGAAGTGAAAGTTAAAGTAAAAAGTGAGGAACAAAGGAAGATAATGATAAAAATGGAAATGTGAAGAAACAGCAAAAGAATGATACTGAAAAAATAAAAAACCTGGCACAGTGATCACACCAGTAATCCTATGTAGTCAGGAGGCTGAGGCAGGATGATTGCATGTTCAAAGCCAGCCTAGACAATTTACCAAGATCTTGTCTCAAAAAAAATTTTATATATATATATGTGTGTGTGTGTATATCTATCTATCTATATATATATATAAATTATTACAGATGAACATAAAGCTGGGGCTTCAGGGAGAGCTGAGGATATAGCTCCTTGATAAAGCCCCCTGGGTTCTATCCCCAGTACTGCAAAACAATAATAATAATAAAATAAAAAATAAATGAAAAGGTAGAAGTCAGGGGTGGTGGTACACCCCTGTAATCCTAGTTACTCTGGAGACTGAAGCAGGAGGATTTCTTGACCCCAAGAATTCAAGCCTATCCAGGGTAAAATAGCAAGATCCTGTCTCCTACAAAAATAAATAGCAAAACCAGGAGTGGTAGCACATATCTCAGTACTCTGGGAGGCTGAGGCAGGAGGACTGTTATGAGCTCAAGGCCAGCATAGGTTGTGTAGTCAGTTCAAGACCAGCCTGAACTACATAAGGAGACCATGTCTCAATCAACCAATCATCAATCAATCAATCAATCAATAAAAAATTAAAAGGGCTAGGGGTGTAGCTCAGTGTAAAGGCCCCAAATGCAATCCCCAGTACTACCATATAAATGGTATATAAATAAGCACAGTATATAAATAAGCAAACAAATATAATGAATACAATTTAATATGTAAGTAAATGATAAAGGTGGACTTTGTACTCCATACACTACTCAGATCCTTTGTGAAAGGAGGCATGGTATTTCTGTGATGATTAATTTACTCACTCCACCCAGGAAAGCCTGACTCAGAGTTTTATAGGTGTCTGAGATGCCTTCAGGGTAGCGTTACAGCCATTTATTAAGGTCCAGCTGGCGTTGAGTCGTATAAAGACTGCAAAGTCAGTACATCCATGTATATTATCAGGAATATTTTGAGTCTTATTTTTAGAAAATTAAATGGATTCTTCAAAATTGGTTTTGCCAAAGATTAGCCTCAGCTTTGTACATGCAGTGTCTTTTAAAATTGCTTTCTACGGCTGAACTAAGGAAAAGGAAGTGATTCAGCAGTCAGCAAGCAAGTGAACAAAATGAACAAAGGTATCTGAGCTGGACTCCAGAGGAAACAAAGTTCTTCCTGCTTGCGCTGCTCAGGAGACAATCCTGCATCAAAATCGTGCTTACAGAACCTTTCATTGCAGGGGACAGAGCGTGTAACTTGATGATCTTTGACACTCGCAAGACAGCGGGACAAGCCAACTGCTACCTGTTTTTCTGTCCCAGTGTAGAAGCCTGTCCACTGAAACCGGCCCAGGGCCTTAGGAGTTACAGGATAATCCAAGGTAACGAAACATTCTTTTCTTTTGTGATTGGAATTATTTAAGGAGACGGCTTCTGTGAAAGATTTTCTACAAGAGTCTAAAAAAAACCTACCAAAAGGGTTCACCAGTGTTTCATACTTGAAACTCAATTTCTTAAAATTTCATTCTTTATTTTTAGGAATTTTACTCATTTTCATTAGTTTATATCAATTATACATTATGTTTCCTTGTGCCATTTTCAAACATACTTTGATCATATCCACCCCACGGCCCTCCCTTCCTGAAATTCAATTTGTTAAACCAAAATTTGTTTTCCAGTCAAAGCCTTTGGAATATTTGTTTTTACCTTCATATTATAAAAGGTGCACAGATATTTTATGAAACTTTTTGAAGTCCCTATGTCAATAACATTGTTGATAACTCTGCAGTAAGTTCACAGATCTCTAGAGCAGTGGTGGGGAACCTGGGGCCCGTGTGCTGCAGCCAGTTGCTACCACTGAGAGCTCTAAAAGGTTTGCCATCACTGCTCTAGAATGACTTTTGATAGGGTTAAGACCTATGTGACTATACAAAGTTCTACTGCTTCTGTTGTTAAGTCTCTATTATTTTATAACAGCATTCAAACTTACTGGATTTTATTGTCTACCCGGAGGGGCATTGATCCAGGAACCATTTGTTGAACACCTGCCATGTGCCAGGTTTTGTGCAAAGCACTGGACATGCAGACTTAGTCCGTACCTGTGCAACTTATATATAGATTTAATCTATATATAAGACTTAGTACCTGTGCAACAAATATAGATTTAATCAAAATTCAGAAAATAAACAATTAAATGGGTGTGGAAGAGGAGGGGAAGCAAAAGTAATTCAGATGCAACATATACATGTACCAAGTTCCCAAAGTAATATAATTATTGTATATTACAAACATACTAATAAAAAGTTTTTTTGGTTTTTTTTGGTTTTGTTTTTTGGTCGTTTTGAGACAGGGTCTTGCTATGCAGTTCAGACTGGCCTTGAGCTCTCTTTGTAGCCCAGGCTGATCTCGACCTTGTAATGATCCTCCTGCCTCAGCCTCCCAAGTGCTGGGATTAGAGGCAGGCGCCACCACGCCTGACTAATAAAAAAGATTTTTAGAAAAAGAAACTGCTAAACAGATTAATGTAATTATTTAGACACGTTTCACTGAGATTTTGCCTTGTTAATTTTTCAAGTTGAAATGCTTTCATTATCAAATTTCCTTTGTAGCCAGGCACTGTGGCAAACACCTGTCTTCCCAGCCATTTGTGGGGCTAAGCAGGAGGATCACAAGATCAGGGCCAGCCTGGGCAACTTAGCATGAATCTCTTTCAAAATAAAAAATTAAAGGCTCTCAGTGATAACACAGAACACTTGCCAAGTAGCAAGTACCAGGTTCTGAATTCAATCCTCAATACAGAAAAAAAAAAAAAATTCTTTTAAGTTGTGGAAAGTTTTTTGCCACTATGCTCTTGGTTTCTACTGTTATTCTTTTCACTCATTCAATAAATAACAAATATGATTTAGCACCTTCACTGTATCAAGCATTTTTTATGCCCTAACGATGCAGTATTAGACACACACACAAAAAAAATCTCACTTCTGGAATTTATGTTTTAGGAGAGAGACAATAACCATAAAAAATTATCAAGGGAAATATAGTCACAGTGCTATGCAGGAAATTTGGACAAGGTGCTGTAAATGGTAATCACTGAGTAATGGTAAGCTTGTATCAAGGTGACCAAAGGACTTGTCCGTGAAAGGTAAACCCTAAAATTCGACCTGAACAGTCAGGTGCCAGATGCGAGCAGGTAGGGGAAGACCTTCTAGGCCCATGATCCTCAGGCAGAAGGGGTTGGGGTGTTTGAAGAACAAGCTACAGTCCCAGCTGGCGGACACCTAGTGAGCTAAGCAGAAAGTAATATGCAAAAAGGCAGGGATCCCACGGCACAGAAAGCTTTATAAGCCAGAGAGGGGGCTTTTATTCTGTGTGTATGACGGGAAGCAGCAATATTATGAGTGCGGTGTAGCTGCCCCTGTGGGAGTAGACAGTGAGGCTGCTACCAAGGGAGATGGAAAGACTGCTCGGGTGGGGGAAGGAGACCCTCGTGAAAGGCGATGGCCCTGGGCACCAGGGAGGTAGGAGAGGAGGTGGACAGAAGAGTGGACATGGGGCTGTTTCAGATGCAGAGTTGACAGGACTTGCTGATGGTGTGGCTGTGGAGGACCAGGAGAAAGGAAGCAGTGAGGTCTTGTCCTAGGTTTTGACTTCAGTGTCTAGATGAATTGGGGATTTTCTTTTCTTTTCTTTTCTTTTCCTCCCTTTTCTGGGTGGGCAGTACTAGGGATTGAACCCAGGGTCTTTGCATAGAGCTACACTCCCAGCTTACCCTCCCCTCCCCTCCCTCCTTCCTTCTTCTTTTTCCTCTTCCTCTCCGCCTCCCTTTCTTTTGTTCAACAGCTAAGTCACTGAATTGCTCAGGTTGGACCCAAACTTGTGATCCTTCTGCCTCAGCCTCGAAGAATGCTGGGATTATAGATGTGCAACACCATGCTCAGCTGAGTTGGGGAGTGTGTGTGCCTGCGTATGTATGTGTGAGCACATGTATGTGTGTTGCTAGGGATTGCACCCAGCACCCCAAGTGTGCTGAGCACCCGCTCTGCTGGTTGGGGAGGAGGAGGAGTAGGGTTGAAAGGTGCACTGGAATTAAGGATTCTTTCTCGCTGCATTAAGTGTGAGTACTTTGGTGCTGCCCAGCGCCCCTGAGCGCTGTGCTTTGTCTCCCAAGTGAGGCTGTGTCTGAGTTTTGTTCATCAACCTGGGAAACCTGATCAGATGTTCCCTTAAAAAACAGCATGAAGAGAAAAAAAACAGCATAAAGTACAGATTCCTTGTTTAAATAGTCTGGGATATGATAAAAATTACAGTTGTTTGCTTTTAAAATTTTTCCAATTATTGCTTTTATAATGCATGTATAATAGAGGAAGTATGTGGTAAAGATTCCCACCGGTGGAAATGGGGAAAAAAAACTCAGCATGTGCATAAACCGTGTGTGTGTGTGTGTGTGTGTGTGTGTGTGTGTGTACTGAAGATTGAACCCAGGGCCTTTGAGCTGAGCTACATCCCTAGCTTTTTTTTAATTTTTTGTATTTATTTTGAGACAGGATCTTGTTAAATCTGTAAGTTTCCCAAGCTGGGCTCAAACTTGCCCTTCTCCTGCCTCAGCCTCCCAGAGTACTGAGATGACATAAACCGAGTCAGGGCTACGGTAAATAAAATGAAGTGGAATTGGAATCAACCTGTTCTTGTGGTAGCCACCAGGGGGCGTCATCAGCCCAGAGCAATTGATGAAACATCTAAGGGCGAAGTAGCATCAATCCTCGATGTAGTACTCAAAGGACTATTGACAGGATGTGTATGAATTATCTGCCCAAATTGGTGGGTTGAGATCACTCCATTAAAAACAAATTATCTAGCCAGGAGTGGTGGCACATGCCTATAATCCTGGTACTTGGGAGGCTGAAGCAGGAGGATCATTGCAAGTTCGAGACCAGCCTGGGCCACAAAGTGAGCTCAAGACCAGCCTGAACTGCAGAATGAGACCCTGTCTCAAAAAGACTAAATAAATAAATAAATAAATAAATAATCTGCTTCCTTTCTTTGGGAAACTAGATGTAGATACTCTATTTTGTGGTTTGTTTCTGTAGGACTTTATTCTCTTACCATCATTGACTAGTATTTACAGACTGGAGTTTGGAAGACGATAGTGACCTTTTTTCCTTCTATAAAGCCATTGTGGCTTGGCGTTATTTAATTTGTAGCTTTCAGGTATGTCGTTTCTACCAAGGACTGGAAGAATAGGAGAATTCAGAAATAGAATAAATTGGGAGCTTTTGTGCAGCTGGTTGCCAAGAAATAGGCACTAATTTTTTCACTCAGTGAAGTCCCTTGAAAAATGAAACTCAAAAGCGTTGAGGGGACAGGGCCGTGTCCCAGCTCCTTCTGTGGCTTGCATCTGTGTGACTTGGGGGAGGCCCTGCGCGCCCTCCCGCCCCTGTGCACAGCAGTGGGTGAAGGATCTCCGCGTTGTTCTAGGAGCTTCGTCAGTAGCTGCATCTTACAGAGGCGTGGGACTCCCTAGGTTTTGCTTTATTTCTGAACTTGCAGGTCTGGGAAAGAAAACAGCTGTTTCGGCCATTCTTGTCAGTGGCTTTATTTACCTTCTGATGTCACACCCGTCACAGGGCGTTGACTCAGATAGTCCCTGTGTTAAACTTTAAAGTCAAATATATGGAGTCTTTTTTCTGATGCTGAGGATCGAACCCAAGGGCTTGTGCATGCTGAGTGCAAGTGCTGTACCCCTGAGCCAAAGCGTCCCCCACCCCGCACCCCAGTCTTCATTTAAACAACATCTGCTCCACTCTGAAGATAAGGTGGTGTTTATCTCATGGTAATGCTGTGAGTGCCACCCCACCTGTAGCAAAAACCCTGGTTCTGCACTGTTGTGGGGAAAAGGAGCTTCAGTCATCCAGATTCTACTTTAGAGAGCTACAGCCTGAAGCAGGTGTCTGCCGGTTTTTTGTCAAAGGTCAAATAGTATTTTAATGGCTTTTCAGGCCAGTATTTTATGCTCTGTGGGCCATGGGCAATCTGTTGTACCTACTCACTTTTGTCCTTGTCATACAAAAGCAGCCACAGATGGTATATAAACAAATGGGCTGGGTATGATGGTACATACCTATAATGCCAGTGGTTAGGAGGCTGAGGCAGGAGGAACATGGTGAGTTTGAGGCCAACCTGGGCTACATAGCAAAACCTTGTCTCTAAATAAATAAATAACCAGCCCACCACAGATCCCAGAGCTCTGAAGTATCTGGCCTGGTTTTTGCCTTTAAAAAATGGACCTGGTTACATACTGATAAAACATTATGGATACTGAAATTTTAATATCATATAACTTGTCATCACAGATTTCTTTTCAGTCATTTTAAAATGTAAACACCATTTTTAGTTTGCAAGCCATACAAAGATAGGTAGCAAGCCAGACCTGACCACTGGACCATAGTTCACTGACCCAGGTCCAGGATGGGTTAGTAAGTGAGTGCCGAGGGACCACCAGCAGTATGAGGGCTCTAGAACAGTAATCTGAAGTTGCCTCTGGATCTGTTAGGGAGACGATGATTCTTCTTTAGAAGCAGGCATAGAGCCGGGAGTGGTGGTGCACACCCATAATCCCAGCACTTGGGAGGCTGAGGCAGGAGGATTGCCTTGAGTTTGAGGCCAGCCTGCGCTATATAATGAGTTCAGGGCTAATCTGAACTACATGGTGAGACCCTGTCTCAAAAAAAAGAAAAAAGACAGGCACAGAAGGGACTTGAGAAAGAAGAGAGTGAATCAGTGCATGCTAAGAAATCCCTGTTTCTCTCCTGGTGTTTCCTGCAGTTCCAGTCTAAGCAAAATGGTTAGCCACATGGCAGAGTAATACAGAACAATTAAATTACCACTGGCTGCTGTTGAGTGCCTTAACAAGCTTTTCCAGTTTGAGCCGTGATGGATGGTGCATGTGGTTAAGAACAAAATCCTAAGCTTTCTTTCAGGATCAGAGGCTTTGTGAATCCCTCCTGGGGTATCAAGACTTGGTTTTCTGCCCCATACACCCTCAGTGTGGCCATCCTGATTTCATATATGAGACCCACCATCCTTACAACCTAAGACTGTGATTGGCTCTAAAATTTTAAGCTTTGAGAGTTAAAATTAAATTCCCCTCTGAGTACGGTTGGAAAATGTCGTCAGCCTTGTGCTGTTCCCTTGGCCTGGTGCCCTCAGAGGTGACCACACCTTGCAGCTCCTTCTTCCTCCGTGTCAAAGCTTCGTCTCTGTCAGTGGCATACAGCAGCCTGCTGTGCTCCGCCTGTAATCCCAGGACTCCAGGAGGCTGAGGTAGGAGGATCACAAGTTTGAGCTTGGGCAGCTCCATGACTTCGGGTGACCGTCTCTCAAAGAAATAAAAAGGGCTGAAGTTGTAGCTCAGTTGCAGAGACCCTGGGTTCAGTCCACAGTCCTGGAAAAACAAAAACGGCGTATTACAGGGATTCTCCCTCTCTTACTCTGCCAGCTCGTCTTCCCGAGGCTTCTGCATGCCTTTGCTTGCCTGCCCCGTGCCCACACTGCGCAGTTTGTCCTAATAATTGCTAGTCCTCAGTCCTGCGTGGCGTGTCCTGTGGGAACTTCTGCCTCATGCAGCATTCTCCCTGCCAGTCCTCATCCTGCCCATGTCACCCTGGCCCACCTCTCTGCCTGGTCCCCATCCACACACAGCCCTCGTCTTCCTAACCCTCTGTGGACCATGCTGGGCTCCTCCAAACTACATACCGCCACTCTGTCAATGGTAAATAAATAACCACCCACCCTCTCACCATCCATCCTCTCCATAATCTGTCTGCTCTGCCTCCACACATTTCTGTCCCATCAGGCTAGAAATAAACCACAGCAGCACTGTCCACTTCTGATTTAGCAACTTAAATGTTTTCAGTTTTGCATGTGTTGCTGAAATACCAAGTAGCAGGGATGAGGGATGTATGTAGCTCAGTGATAGAGCCCTTGTCTAGCATGCATAGGGTCCTGAGTTCAATCCCCAGCGCCAGCAAAATCAATCAATCAAGTATCAACAGCTTGGAGACACACTAAAAAAGCTGATATGTTTGTATTTTTAACCTTAGCATGGATAATTTGTCTCCCTTTTCTTTTCTCTGTGTTTTCAGATGTTCCGTCTTTGAGTGATTTGCTACAGCAAGAGTTGGTGCAAGAAGGTTCTCTCTCTCCCAGCCAGTCTCTAGGAGCCGTCACGTCCCTGCTGCCTGCTTCGAGGGGTCTTTCAAAGCCCACTGATCTCTTAGGGGGAGATGTATCTTCTCAGAGGTCTGGATCTTCAGATCACCTGCAGAAACTCTCCCAGATCAGCCAAGCAAGTACCCAGGTCCCCGTTAATAAAGACAAAGGCCACTCTCAGAGTTTACAGTCTTCCTCAGACCCAGAAGTAGCTCATTTGTTGCCTGAAAATTCAACCACCTTCTCCCCTGCAGGGGCCATTAGTTTTCAGCCTAACAGCTCTGCAACTCTGAAGCCTGTATTTCTTGCACACACCAGTACCTCAGAGATACCCCCGGTGACTTTTCAACCCCAGGTGGCTACCACAGTTCCACTCATAACCACTGTCCCCTCTCAGCCTCCTCCAGCCCCTCTTTCCACAGTTTTTACACGAGCTGTGGCTACTCCCCACGCTGCGACTACAACAGCCGTTCTGACTACCATCTTTCAGGCATCTAGGGACTCGAAAGGCACCCCAGAAACGATGCCCTTTAGAGAAATCTCCAAGCTTGCTTCAAGCGCAGGGCATGTGCATAACCCTACTACACTCCCTTTGTCAAATGTGGAGTCTTCCGCTACAAATAAAACTGTTTCCCCAGAAAATTTAAAGGCCGCGGTGGACAGCTCAGCACCGAGAAGTGTTCTAGAAAACCAGTATGGCCTTCCATTTGAAAAGTGGCTCCTTCTGGGGACCCTGCTCTTTGGTGTTCTGTTCCTGGTAATAGGCCTGGCACTCTTGGGTAGGATATTCTCAGAATCCCTCCGCCGGAAACGGTACTCACGACTTGATTACTTGATCAATGGGATCTATGTTGACATCTGAGGACAAAATTCATTATCTCTTAATTCACTGAGTACCTAGGAGCAACGCACACTGCATTTCTGCAAACTTGCTGATCTCAGCAAATTAGATTTCAAAGACTGGAAAATGTTCCCTAGCACTTTCTTCTTATTTTTTGAGGACAAGGGAGAAGACCCAAATTAGGTAATTTGCATGATCTTGCTAAAATATTCACTGAAAATTAGGCTCTATCTATAGTAAGAAAGTGTAAGTGCCATATACATTGGAAAATTCAGGGTTCTGGGGATTTAGCTCAGCTGCACAGCGCCTGCCTGGCAAGCGGGAGGTCGTGAGTTCGATTCCCGGTACCGGAAAAAAAAACAAACAAAAAAAAGCAGCTGGCTTTATGCAAGGGAAAAAAAAGTCAGAATATCAAGTTTCCATTTGATTAATATTTCTGGTTCCAGATAAAGTCAACTGTTTATGATATTGGTTTTAATGGATTTGCTTTTTATATGAATTCCAATAAAACTTATTCCAGATGTATTTCCTTCCAATTAAATATTTGAATAAATCTTCTGTTACTCAGTAATGTTCCTGTAAGTGATATGTCCATGCTGGATAACTTTCAATTTATTCCCACCAGCGAAATGATGAAATGAAGAAAATATGCGTTCCAAGTTAAAATGACAAACCCCCCTTTCCTGTCAATGAACAAAGAGATTCATTTGGGAGGATATTAGCCTACTTGGAGACAGTGATAAATCGGTTCTAATAAATAGCCAAATCCATCTGGGATCTGTCCGAACTTTTTTTTTCCAGTGTTAACATTTGCTAAACTTGTACAAAGTTTAAAATGTACCCATGTTGTTTACAAATCCTTAAGTTTGGCCAAGAATTTTATTTTTATTTGGAACAGCATTAGAAAAAAGATAGAGCACTTAGGTTAATGTGCTCTACTTGTAATTGATTGTTGAAATTTCTGAGAAACACTTATAATAATGAGAATTTGTGAGACAAATTATAGGTGGGGTGGCTATAAGTCCGGAAGGCTGCCTGCTCAATGTGGCACCGCTCCATTTGGTACCTTATTTCTTTGGAGTTCTCTGCAAAAAAGTTTGGGGTCTCCCAGATATAAGCAGGTTTTTAAAGATAAAATGGACTTTCAGAGCCAGGTGTTGGTGGTAGATATCTGTAATGCCAATAATCTGGGAAGCTGAGACAGGAGGATGAAGAAGTTGAGCCTAGACCAGGCTGCTTGAAGGACTGGGACCATAGCCCAGTGGACTTTAGATGACAACTTTATACACTGAGCACTAGAGGGCAGTAGATAGTAAGTATGTGTAGGAGTGAAGGCAGATGTAGGAAATCACAAGAAACAGGATTTTTCTCTTGCTCACCTCCCCCTTCCTCTTCACCTTTCTCTTCACCTCCATTCTCCCGGTGCCCCTCCCTCTCCCCCTTGGTTTATGAGTAAGCTCATAAAGCACGTTAAGAGGAAAGCTGGTCTACTGAAAATATCATTTTCATATATTTTCCAATTTAACAGTTTGACGCAAGTCTCCAAGGGCTTTACATAAGCTTTAAGTAGGTTGAATAAATAAGATCTTGAGTCAATTTAATTTAACAAGTATTTATTGAATATTTACATGGAGGCCAGAATCAGATTACTAACCAAGTGCCTTGGAATTTTAAAATCTCTCCTCTCCTTGTTAGTGGATTTAGAGAGTGAAAGCGAGGCCTTCTGTGTAAGTTTATAAAGGGCTTTCTTCTGGTTCTTCTGCAGTTTTCTGCCTACCTGGCTGCAGCCTTTCAGGTTACCAAGTACTTTCTTGATAGGGAGGCCAGGCACAAGGCTGTAGCAGTCAGTCGTCCAGATGGGAGGTAACACTACTGCCTGGGGCATCCATGCGTAAAGGGGTTGTAGGGGTGCATACTTACTTATGACAGACTTGTAAAAAGTCACACACTCTGTTACCCCTGTCACAGTGTATGAGGCTGCTGCAAGGCAAGCTAGGCAGAAGATGCCTGTGCTTGCTTACTTGAACTGGACTCCAGTGATTCTCCTGCCTTTGCCTCCCTGGTGCTGGGACTCTAGGGTAAGCTCACTTTTAGATGGCTTTAATAGTGACTGGTCTAAGCCAACCTTTCAGACAAAGTGCACTGAAGCGTGAGCCCCCCTCCCCCTAGACCTTTGGTTTATGGGAAGGCAAGGTGGCAGTGTAGAACAAAGAGAGGACCAGGAAGGTCTCCCTGCTCAAAAATAACCTCTCTCTCTCAGCTGAGTGTGGTAGCATATGCCTGTAATCCTCGCACTCTGGGAAACTGAAGAAGGAGGATTGAAGTTGGACCCCAGCCTGGGGCAAATTAGTGATTTAGCAAGACCTTGTCTCAAAAAATAAAAAAGTCTAAGGGTGTAGCACAATGCAAAGGCCCTAGTTCATTCCCCAGTACTCGAGAAAAGGAAAAGCCTTTCTTTGGCTGGACACAGTGAGACACATACCTGTAGTTCCAGCTACTTGGAAGCCTGCAGCTGGAGTATCTTTTGAGCCCAGGAGTCTAGAACCAGCTTGGGCAACATAGTGAGACCTTGTCTCAAAAAAAAATTATCTTTGTCAATAGCAAGATACTTACCTGGGTTAAAACCTACTCAAAAAAACTAATAAACTAAACTAATGACTGAAGGATGAAGTCTATGGCTTATTCACTCCAGATGAATAGTGCTACATCTTATTTCTCAACAACCTGTGGCCTTGAAACTCTTTGGTTTGCAGACTGTGGTGGGCACTACTAGTTATCCACCCCAAAGCCATACCTAGCTGTGTTTTTGCTATGCTGTTACAGGTTGGAAATGCCACATTCTCTTTGTCAACCCATCTTGGAGTGAGGGTTAAGCCTGTGACCTAGTTTCACTGAGTGGAAACATACTGAGGGCTGCTAGGATAGATTTTCCTACTTGTTAGTACAATCCTCAAGGAAGAAAGATCTTTTTGCTCCCATTCCTCTGTTTTCCGCTTGGGATACTGGCCACGCGAGGACATGATACACCTATTGCAGCCTTCCTGCCTCATTGAGGGCAGAAATAATTAACATGCTGGGATATGGAGATGGTCTGGGCCCTGACAGCTTGGTTAAAGCAACAGGACTGACACTGGAACTGGCAATTTCAGCCTTCTTCTGTGAGACCTTATCTCCAGTATTTGCAGAACTTTTGTTCTGAAGTTGGACCCCAGCCTGGGGCAAATTAGTGATTTAGCAAGATCTTGTCTCAAAAAATAAAAAAAGCCTAAGGGTATAGCACAATGCAAAGGTTTATATGTAGATGTCCCCTCCAAAGTGCTCATAGGCGGCACTTTTGGGAGGTGATTGGATCATGGGGGCATGACACTTATCAGTGGATTAGTGTGCTGATGAGTGTATAAATAAATAAACTTTGGGAGGTGAAGCCTGGTTGGAGGAGGTGAGTCACTGGGGATGTGGCCTGGAAGGGTCTAGCTCCTTCCCTGTTGCCCGGACAACACTGCTTCCTGACTGCCATGCCCTACGCAAGCATCCTCTGCCATGCCCCTCTACCGTTCTGCCCTTCCTTGGAGTCAGCTGATACGAACTGAAACATCTGCAAACAGCCAAAATAAACCTGTCTTCTTTCAAGTTGTAGGTGTTGGATATTGTGTCTCAACCATAAGAAAGTAACTGAGTCAGATTGTGGGATCAGGAATGGGGCTGTTGCTGTGATACTACCTGACCATATGGTTCAGACGTCTTTGGAATTGGCTTGTGGGAAGGGTATGGAAAGGTTTGGAGATGTTGGCTGCAGAAGCAGCCCTAGAATTCTGTAAGCCAGGCTTGATGGGAGATTATGGTCAGAGCTGAGAAGACCAGAATGTTGACAGTAATGCAGCCAAAAAAGGGCAGGCTCAAGAGGTTTTACTTGGGAAGGACTGCATTGGCAGTTGGACTCCAGGCCATGTGTGTTATGCTCTGGCAGAAAATTTGTCTGCATTTTGCTCATGTCCAGAGACACTGTGGGAGACTGAGATTAAGGATGAATGACTAATCTGGCAAGGGAAATTTCAAAGTAGCCAAATATTCAGGCTGTGGCTTGGGTACTGTTGTGGGGGCTTTTAGCCAGCTCTACATTGCAAATCAAGAGCAAACAGCCCAGCAGAATGATTTTACAAGCTTTGAGTTTGGCCAGAAAGGAGGCTGCAGTAAAGCTCGGTCCCTCAGAGATGGAGCAGAGGAAAACCTGGTTGCCAAAAAGATTAGCATTAAAAATAGGCCAAGTATATTAGAACAGAACAATAGGAAAAATGCCTTGAGGGAATGTGAGGAACCAGCAAGACTCCACCTTTTACAGGCTCAAAATTGTAAAGGTGAAAGAATTTGAGAAGAGAGCCCCAGGGCACCATGCTCCAGCACTGCACCGGCCTAGGGAATGGGAACTGATTCTCTGGGATTCATTTCACTGCGTGCAGCCATCCAGCCACTCAGAGGCCTCTGCAACCGCAGGCAAGATGCACAAGGGCTTAGCTACTGCCCCAGCTGGTGGCAGACCCTGGTGTCATCCACATAGTGCTGTTCTAGGAGCATGCAGAATGAAACAGTTGTGGGATCATGGAAGTTCCCAACAAGATTTCAAAAGAAGACCTGGGACACCAGGCAGTATATGCAAGGCGGCAGTGTGTGAATCTGTGAGTGTGAAGCCAAAGGTGGAAGGGAGACCCCAGGATGTTGGAAAAGCCAGGAACATGGAACATCTGAGGAAAGCCACAAAAAGTGAACAAAGCCCAATCAAGAGAACCCATGGGGCTACAACCACTGGCAGTGCCATAGGGGCAGGGTCACCTAAGCTCTTCAGAGTTCATATCTCACCACAAATTACCCCAGGCCCTGGGCCTGGATCTATGGCGGTGATGTTGAAATGTCTAGAGCTTTCAATGATAACAAACAGCCTACTGTGGCACATATACCGTAGGTTCACCACCAGTGATCTATGGGATTCAGTGCTTACCCTGCTGGATTTAAGACTTGCTGTGGCACCATTCCTTTCTATCCCCCTTTCTTCCTTTTGGAATGGGGATGTTTATCTTGTGCCTTTGTACTTCAGCAGTGTAACTTTCATTTTTTACAAGAGCTTGCAGATAAGAGTTTACCTTAAACCTCAGAGGAGACTCTGGACTAGGACTTTTCAACAGTGCTGAAGTTGTTAGGATTTTGGCAACACTTAGAGATAGATTAAATGCATTTTGCATAAAGGGATGGGCATGAGTCTTGGGGGTGAGGGCAGAATGTTATGGTTTATGTCTAGATGTCTCCCTAAAGTCTCATGCGCTCATAGGTGGGGCTTTGGGGAGGTAATTGGATCATGGGGGTGTGATACTTATCAGTGGGTGAGGTGATGAGTTTATACCTAATTATGATTTGAAAGACAAAGCATGGTTGGAGGAGGTGGGTCACTGGGAATGTGGTCTAGAAGGATCTATCTCCCCCTTCCTTTGATAATGTCTGCTTCCTGACTGCCATGCCATAAGCAAGCCTCCTCTGCCATGCCCCTCTGCTGTTCTGCCCTGCCTTGGGGCGAGCTGACTGTGAACCAAAACCTCTACAAACTGTGAGTCAAAATAAACATTTTCTCTTTTAAGTTATAGTGTTGAAAATTGCATCTCAGAAGTGAGAAAGTAACCAAGACAAGGTTTCTTATTAATAATGGTAGCAAAGACCTATAAGGTGCTTAGACTGTGCACAAAGCACACATCACATAGGAAACTTGTTTTATTCCTACAAGTTT